TAGTTTTAAGACATGCTATGGCTAAAAGGGAACAAATATCAAGAATATAGTGTATAAATGTGGACACTGAAGTCAAAAACAGATAGTAACAAACCTGAAAATTACGTTCGAGATATATATCCCAAGTATTACATGTTCTAGCGTTGTTTATAATTTTCCATCTTACTTTTGGTGTCCTATTTATATCCTTCAGATGCCAAAAATATATTTAGATAGGGAAGTCTGATTGGGATGACCCATGCCCTTTGTGCCTCCATGAGAAACTGCACATTATTAAGTTTCTAAATAATAATAATCTATTAAACAATAGACATGAGTTAATGGTTTTTTGTCGACATCATCAAATTAATGGTTTGAATAATTAGCTAAAAACAAGCAAACAATATAATATCTTTTATAATCCATAGCCCAAATAAATAGTTTAAATACCCTACAAAAAAGGTAACCCTTTATGAAGTCGTCAAAAAACAAATGTTACGGTAGTTTTGTTTTTGTTTTTTGTTTTGTTTTTTTTATGCACAAATCCCTTTCATAAAGAAATAAAATAAAAAAATAAATAAATCTCCATAGACACGTAAACCAGACTAGGCTAAAACATCTTCCGTTTCAAATTTAGACACCCCCACCTTACCCTGACTTGACATCTATGAAAGTAACTCTATACTGTTATTTATTATTAACACCCAACACTTGCCTACCCAATTTAAACAATTCGCCCTAGCTATTACCATGGAAATTTTGATTTCAATTATTAAAACACGTAAATTTCAGAAATACGTTATTCCAAAAAAATTTCGCTTGAAGATGGAACAGATCTTACTTTAACTCAATTTAATTCAAATAATTATATTGAAGTTTTCGGCTCTTGTTTTGAAACATGAGACCTCTTATGTCGCGAGTTGGAATCATATTTTAAATAAATAATTATATTTATGCTCTACTTTTGTATCGAGCACTATTTTTAAAAAAATAATAACTAAAATACTAAGGAACTTTGGATTATTTACCTAACCAGTTCTTTCCTGTTTTCTATATATTTTCACATATATATATATATATATATATATATATATACTTTGAACGTAATTGAACGTAATATATATATATATATATATATATATATAGAGAGAGAGATATAGAGAGAGAGAGAGAGAGAGAGAGAGAGATAGATAGATAGATAGATAGATTTGTTTACATTCGTAAAAACAATACGCGCTAGATTTAGACAGATCATTCTGTCGAATAAAGATAACTCAGTGGTAGAAATCGGTCGGGTTTCAATCCTGGCTTGAAGCACTCAGATGTCTCGTCACAATGAGGAGCTGCGAAAAAGTACTGTCTGCGAATGACGATATATATATATATATATATATATATATATATATATATATATATATATATATATATATATATGGCGGCCTGACAATTGCATCTAGTATGAAACAGCCTGTCGCCTTTTTCGGGTTATTCATCGTCAGGGAGGTGTTAAAAATTACTAAAAATTAATATTTCTTTGGCATTCCGTTACCGGTCTTACAATTTCTCAAAAGCTGTTTTTGGTTTTTTTTTAAGTATACAAAATAGTTCTTTTCAAAACAGTTGCTTACAGAATGATAGTACATGCAAAAAAAAATTTCATAATATAATCTTCGTCGGCTTTATATCGTACCCAAGAATTTAATTTCTTCTCAGCCGATCGCTTCGTTTATGATGATTGAGTTGATGACTAAATTCGCCGCCAGCGTGCAGATTCAAGTCTAGAAACTTCCAGTCTCACAAAAACTTTCCCCCCATCATCCATTCCCTATCGCCACTTGACTTTCCAAGAGTTGGTTGGAGGTGCAAAAAAAAAAAAGAAGAAAAATGTCGATGGCGTGAATTTGTTTAAGGTGGACCTCAAATTGCCAGGAAGTGGCCCACACACTTGATTTCATGACTTTCCTCTGCAACACATATGGAATCCGAAATGCAGAATCCAGTTATGAAACTGCAACGCACTGCCGCTGGCTGATAATTTCGAGTGACGCCTTCTGTAGTATGTCCGTCATGCGTAGCCCTCTTCATCCGCTGGCTCAACGGTTGAGGTCTGTTGTAATCGTCATCCGTTTATTCCACTGTTTGGGGTCTTGTTTCGCAATCCCCACAAGACATCGAAAGGAGGAAGTGCAGAGGAAAACAGCGAGTAACTTATCTAATGAGATTAGGTGAATGAATGACAGAGCGAGAATAAAGAGGGATGAGAAAGAGTTAATTGCTGCTTTAAGCTGCAAGAGGCAGGAAGTTATGGAGAGCCATGATTGTCAACACCCTGAAGGGACACAAAAGAGACAAGAATAAATGAATGAATAATATATAAAGGAATAAGTTTTATTTGGATTTTTGTAAGCAGCACCACTTGATTCAGAATAAAAGAAAAATACGACAAGTACAAATAAAATCATGTAACCGGCCAGATGAGGCCTGTGAGATGGGTTCGTAGTTTGAAAACTCATGGAATTACCTGAATATTCTTTTAACCTTCAGTCAATTATGCTAATTTTATAACTGCCTAACCGGAAATAAGGTTTTTCTCAATTTATATATGTATGATTCTACAGCCACAAAACATTTTAATAGTTCGTCAATCTGTATTTGTTCGTATGTATGTTTTTTTTTGTTTGTTTTTTGGGGTTTTTTATGTATTTTTAATCGATTCACACCAATCAAGGGATAATGTCACTAGGACGCAGGGATGAAAAAAATGAGAGAACTTTAGTGAGGTGAAATGGGGTAAAAACAATAAAGGAACAGGGTCCATGCGTTTTTAATACTAATGTTCACAAGGCCCGACAGCCATTCAAGGTAGAGAGTTACAGTTAAAATGGTTATAATAAATGAAGTGTGGGATATCATTGAAAGAGGAGATGTTAAAAAGTGAAGATTTTTGAGGATAAGAATATACCAACTGCCTGAAGAGGTTAAGATTATAGCTTTCTGGAAAGCATCCACGCCAGAGTATATCCACAAGGTAGCAGTTTTAGGGGGGGGGGAAGCTGACTAGATCTTTCTCGTTAAACTTGGAATACGGGGAAAATGGGGATGGTTCGACTCCGTAGAAGAGGCATGGCGTGTCCTATCTGCACGCGTGGAACTAAATAATGGAGCTCATCTCAGTTTGAACGGAAAAAATTCCCTGTAATGAAAGACCCGGTCGAAGACGGGTTATACTGCTAGTATATAATAGAACGTAAGTTTATCAATATCCAAAGGTAAGATCGATTTTCACACTGAGTTTATGAACTGAAAAAAAAGTACATCCATATTTGGGTGAATATAAATATTTATATTATCTCTACCGTACGAACCGATGTGTCGGCGATTTTTTAATTTCTCGCCAACATCGGATAAAGCGGTTGATGCAAAGAATGAAAAGAGAGTGAAAGAAAAGGGATCTTGAATCAGTTGTGTCTTCATATCAGAAGTAGAGAACCTTTTGCGAGTTGCTCACGTTTATTCACGGTCAGCTAGAGGTCAGCAGCGGACAAATGATTTTTATGTAAATAGCTTGTCATTCGAAACAGAACAACTCCAAGCCCCGCCACTGGACAATGAACAAAAAGCCAAAGGGGAAAAAGAACAGTTTGACATAGCTTTTAAACATGGCGGTGACACGATAATTGGTGCTATTGAAGCCGGTGCAAAAGAAATAGAATCAGGCAAATTAAACATTTCTCTCTTTCTCACTGTATGCTTGGATCTACTGACATACCGATAATAACGGATCTGCGCATGCGCCCAGAGAATAAGTAGGCGTAAAACTGGCTAAACAGCTATTAATCTGCAAAAAAAGGAAAATAAAAGACTCTAAAATTATTTCTTTATGGAAACGTTTTTTGCTTTCTTTTCATTACATATGAATTAAGCTTAGATTATGTGAATCATTTGTAATTTTTAGTTATTATTAATGTTAATTACCTTTAACGTTATACATTTTATTTTTATCGCTTACAATGTTTTTTACAGAAAGTTTTTTTTCTTTTTGTTTGTTTGTACTTCAATTATTTAATTATATGTGGTTGTAATTACCGTAATTCTTCATGTATAATACGCTTTCATCCATAATGCGCACCCTTAAAATTGTGCTGAAAGTGTGAGAAAATGCTTCTACTCAAGCATAATACGCACCCCTGTTTGGTAACCAAACCCTATAAATTGTACCTCTCTAATTTCCAACGTTTTCTACTCTTATCCAAGCTGTAAATGAAGATATTTATCAAAATTTCCGATCCTCCCGATTCTAAACGGAAACGGAAATACCTATATTGTGCCTACTGCGCAGACTCATGTAGCGGATCTGTATGTAGTTTTTTTCACAAAAGACGGATTTAAACATGGAATAATATTATTCTAATTTAGTTTTATTATAATTCTTATTTTATTTTATATTTGTAAGTATTTTTAGGTACATATTAATGTATTTGACATCCTTATGGGGTCGCAATTGCCGAATGTTAGTGTCAAATTGTCGTATGTTTGAGGTGGGTAGTCATTTCGCAACTGAAATCGACCTATGGAATGGCAATTTTTATAGATTATTTGTAGCTGTGCATAATACGCACACCTAATTTTCCTTATCATTTTCCAGAAAAAACTGCGTATTATACATCGGGAATTACGGTACTATTAACGTTAATTTTGTTAAGAGATTGATACAAAGTTAAATCTTCAACAATGTAATTGACATTGTTAAGATTGTTCGGGTCCCCAAAATGTGCATTTGGTCATAAATCATCGCATTACACCAATTGAAAGGTTAGCAACTTATTTGGCTAAAATTGATTCCTTTTTATTTTTTCATTCTTTAACGCTTTTTTTTTCCTCCCCCCCTCTCTCTCTCTCTCTCTCTCTCTCTTGTAGCTTACTTCTTGCTTTTTTCGTTTACTTCTCTTTTTTACCTCTTTTCTATATCTTTGTCTCATATTTATTGTTTCAGTTATATTTCACTGTCAACTGGATCTCTAATGAATATTCTTTCTTTTTTTCTTTTTTTCTTTCTTTCTTTCTTTCCTTCCTTCCTTTCTTCCTTCCTTCCTTCCTTCCTTCAACTTTCGTTGTTCTATTTTCCTCTTTTTCTTTCTTTTAAGTTTTCGTTATTTTCTTTTTTGCCTTTTAATTTCTCCCTTTAAAACTTCCCCTCCTCTTTGTCTATATTTCTGAGATGAGGTATTATGTAAACTATTTACATTATTCGGACTATTGTCCTTATCTTTGTCGCCATATTTATAACAACATTTCGGCCTTTCATTATCTGTCTATATTTCTGAGATGAGAATTTATGTAAACTATTTAAATTATTCGGACTATTGTCCTTATCTTTGTCGCCATAATTATTACAACATTTCGGCCTCTCATTATCGGTCTATATTTCTGAGATGAGGTATTATGTACACTATTTACATTATTCGGACTATTGTCCTTATCTTTGTCGACATGTTTATTACAATCTTTCGGCCTTTCATTATCTGTCTATATTTCTTGAGGTATTATGTACTTTACATTGTTCGGACTATTGTCCTTATCTTTGTCGCCATATTTATTACAACCTTTCGGCCTTTCATTATCTGTCTATATTTCTTGAGGTATTATGTACACTATTTTACATTATTCGGACTATTGTCCTCATCTTTGTCGCCATAATTATTACAACCTTTCGGCCTTTCATTATCGGTCTTATTTCTGAGATGAGGTATTATGTACCTATTGTCCTTATCTTTGTCTATATTTATTACAACCTTTCGGCCTTTCATTATCTGTCTATATTTCTGAGATGAGGTATTATGTAAACTATTTACATTATTCGGACTATTGTCCTTATCTTTGTCGCCATATTTATAACAACCTTTCGGCCTTTCATTATCTGCCTATATTTCTGAGATGAGGTATTATGTAAACGATTTAAATTATTCGGACTATTGTCCTTATCTTTGTCGCCATGGTATCTGTCTATATTTCGGAGATAAGGTATATGTACATATTTATTCGGACTATTGTCCTTATCTTTGTCGCCATATTTATTACAACCTTTCGGCCTTTCATTATCTGTCTATATTTCAGAGATGAGGTATTATAATATTTACATTATTCGGACTATTGTCCTTATCTTTGTCGCCATATTTATTACAACCTTTCATAACCTTTCATTATCTGTCTATATTTCTGAGATTAAAATATTTAAATTATTCGGATATTTATCTTTGTCGCCATATTTATTACAACCTTTCGGCCTTTCATTATCTGTCTATATTTCTGAGATGATTATTATGTACAGTATTTACATTATTCGGACTATTGTCCTTATCTTTGTCGCCATATTTATTACAACCTGTCGGCCTTTCATTATCTGTCTATATTTCTGAGATGAGGTATTATGTAAACTATTTAAATTATTCGGACTATTGTCCTTATCTTTGTCGACATAATTATTACAACATTTCGGCCTTTCATTATCTGCTATATTTCTGAGATGAGGTATTATGTACACTATTTACATTATTCGGACTATTGTCCTTATCTTTGTCGCCATATTTATTACAAGCTTTCGGCCTTTCATTATCTGTCTATATTTCTGAGATGAGGTATTATATAAACTATTTAAATTATTCGGACTATTGTCCTTATCTTTGTCGCCATATTATTACAACCTTTCGGCCTTTCATTATCTGTCTATATTTCTGGGATGAGGTATTATGTACAGTATTTACATTATTCGGACTATTGTCCTTATCTTTGTCGCCATATTTATTACAACCTTTCGGCCTTTCATTATCTGTCTATATTTCTGAGATGAGGTATTATGTACACTATTTACATTATTCGGACTATTGTCCTTATCTTTGTCGCCATATTTATTACAACCTTTCGGCCTTTCATTATCTGTCTATATTTCTGAGATGAGGTATTATCTAAACTATTTACATTATTCGGACAATTGTCCTTATCTTTGTCGCCATATTTAGTACAATTTTTCGACCTTTCATTATCTGTCTATATTTCTGAGATGAGGTATTATGTACACTATTTACATTATTCGGACTATTGTCCTTATCTTTGTCGCCATATTTATTACAACCTTTCGGCCTTTCATTATCTGTCTATATTTCTGATATATTATGTAAACTATTTAAATTATTCGGACTATTGATGATATTTAATACAACCTTTCGGTTTCATTATCTGTCTATAAATGAGGTATTATATAAACTATTTAAATTATTCGGACTATTGTTCTTATCTTTGTCGCCATATTTATCGACCTTTCATTATCTGATATTTCTGAGATGAAGCATTATGTACACTATTTACCGGACTATTGTCCTTATCTTTGTCGCCATTTTATTACAACCTTTCGGCCTTTCATTATCTGTCTATATTTCTGAGATGATTATTATGAAACTATTTAAATTATTCGGACTATTGTCCTTATCTTTGTCGCCATATTTATTACAACCTTTCGGCCTTTCATTATCTGTCTATATTTCTGAGATGAGGTATTATATAAACTATTTAAATTATTCGGACTATTGTTCTTATCTTTGTCGCCATATTTATTACAACCTTTCGGCCTTTCATTATCTGTCTATATTTCTGAGATGAGGTATTATATAAATTATTTAAATTATTCGGACTATTGTCCTTATCTTTGTCGCCATATTTATTACAACCTTTCGGCCTTTCATTATCTGTCTATATTTCTGTGATGAGGTATTATGTACACTATTTCCATTTTTCGGACTATTGTCATGATCTTTGTCGACATATTTATTACATCCTTTCGTCCTTTCATTATCTGTCTATATTTCTGAGGTGAGGTATTATGTAAACTATTTACATTATTCGGACTATTGTCCTCATCTTTGTCGCCATATTTATTACAACGTTTCGGCCTTTCAGTATCTATCTATATTTATGAGATGGGATATTATGTAAACTATTTACATTATTCGGACTATTGTCCTCATCTTTGTCGCCATATTTATTACAACCTTTCGGCCTTTCGGTATCTATCTATATTTCTGAGATGAGGTATGTATGTACAATTTACATTATTCGGACTATTGTCCTTATCTTTGTCGCCATATTTATTACTATTTCGGCCCTATATCTCTCTATTTTCTGAGATGAGGTATTATATAAACTATTTACATTATTCGGACTAATCTTTGTCGCCATATTTATTACAACATTTCGGCCTTTCAATATCTATCTATAATTCTGTGATGAGGTATTATGTAAACTATTTACATAATTCGGATTATTGTCCTCATCTTTGTCGCCATATTTATTACAACATTTCGCCCCTTTCAGTGTATGTCTATATTTATGAGATTAGGTATTATGTAAACTATTTACATTATTCGGACTATTGTCCTCATCTTTGTCGCCATATTTATTACAACGTTTCGGCCTTTCAGTATCTGTCTATATTTCTGGGATGAGGTATTATATACACTATTTACATTATTCGGACTATTGTCCTTATCTTTGTCGCCATATTTATTACAACATTTTCGGCCCTTCAGTATCTCTCTATATTTCTGAGATGAGGTATTATATAAACTATTTACATTATTCGGACTATTGTCCTCATCTTTGTCGCCATATTTATTACAACGTTTCCCTTTCATTTCTGTCTATATTTATGATTATTATGTACACTATTTATATTATTCGAGCTGTTGTCCTCATCTTTGTCGCCATATTATTACAACGTTTCGGCCTTTCAGTATCTGTCTATGAGATGAGGTATTATGTAAACTATTTACATTATTCGGACTATTGTCCTCATCTTTGTCGCCATATTTATTACAACATTTCGGCCTTTCACTATCTGTCTATATTTATGAGATGACTATTTACGGACTTTGTCCTCATCTTTTGCCACCATATTTATTACAACATTTCGGCCTTTCAGTATCTATCTATATTTATGAGATGGGATATTATGTAAACTATTTACATTATTCGGACTATTGTCCTCATCTTTGTCGCCATATTTATTACAACCTTTCGGCCTTTCAGTATCTATCTATATTTCTGAGATGAGGTATTATGTACAGTATTTACATTATTCGGACTATTGTCCTTATCTTTGTCGCCATATTTATTACAACCTTTCGGCCTTTCATTATCTGTCTATATTTCTGAGATGAGGTATTATGTACACTATTTCCATTTTTCGGACTATTGTCATTATCTTTGTCGACATATTTATTACATCCTTTCGTCCTTTCATTATCTGTCTATATTTCTGAGATGAATTATGTAAACTATTTACATTATTCGGACTATTGTCCTCATCTTTGTCGCCATCAACGTTTCGGCCTTTCAGTATCTATCTATATTTATGAGATGGGATATTATGTAAACTATTTACATTATTCGGACTATTGTCCTCATCTTTGTCGCCATATTTATTACAACCTTTCTTTCAGTATCTATCTATATTTCTGAGATGAGTTTATGTACAGTATTTACAATTCGGACTATTGTCCTTATCTTTGTCGCCATATTTATTACAACTTTTCGGCCCTTCAGTATCTCTCTATATTTCTGAGATGAGGTATTATATAAACTATTTACATTATTCGGACTATTGTCCTCATCTTTGTCGCCATATTTATTACAACATTTCGGCCTTTCAATATCTATCTATAATTCTGTGATGAGGTATTATGTAAACTTTTACATAATTCGGATTATTAATCCTCATCTTTGTCGCCATATTTATTACAACATTTCATTTCAGTTTGTCTATATTTATGAATTAGGTATTATGTAAACTATTTACATTATTCGGACTATTATCCTCATCTTTGTCGCCATATTTATTACAACGTTTCGGCCTTTCAGTATCTGTCTATATTTCTGGGATGAGGTATTATATACACTATTTACATTATTCGGACTATTGTCCTTATCTTTGTCGCCATATTTATTACAACATTTCGGCCCTTCAGTATCTCTCTATATTTCTGAGATGAGGTATTATATAAACTATTTACATTATTCGGACTATTGTCCTCATCTTTGTCGCCATATTTATTACAACGTTTCGGCCTTTCAGTATCTGTCTATATTTATGAGATGTGGTATTATGTACACTATTTATATTATTCGAGCTGTTGTCCTCATCTTTGTCGCCATATTTATTACAACGTTTCGGCCTTTCAGTATCTGTCTATATTTATGAGATGAGGTATTATGTAAACTATTTACATAATTCGGACTATTGTCCTCATCTTTGTCGCCATATTTATTACAACATATCGGCCTTTCACTATCTGTCTATATTTATGAGATGAGGTATTATGTAAACTATTTACATTATTCGGACTATTGTCCTCATCTTTGTCACCATATTTATTACAACATTTTGGCATTTCAGTATCTATCTATATTTATGAGATGGGATATTATGTAAACTATTTACATTATTCGGACTATTGTCCTCATCTTTGTCGCCATATTTATTACAACCTTTCGGCCTTTCAGTATCTATCTATATTTCTGAGATGAGGTATTATGTACAGTATTTACATTATTCGGACTATTGTCCTTATCTTTGTCGCCATATTTATTACAACATTTCGGCCCTTCAGTATCTGTCTATATTTCTGAGATGAGCTATTATGTACACTATTTATATTATTCGGACTATTGTCCTCATTTTTGTCGCCATATTTATTACAACTTTTCGGCCTTTCAGTATCTGTCTATATTTATGAGATGAGGTATTATGTAAACTATTTACATTATTCGGACTATTGTCCTCATCTTTGTCGCCATATTTATTACAACATTTCGGCCTTTCAATATCTATCTATAATTCTGTGATGAGGTATTATGTAAACTATTTACATAATTCGGATTATTGTCCTCATCTTTGTCGCCATATTTATTACAACATTTCGCCCCTTTCAGTGTATGTCTATATTTATGAGTTAGTTTATCCTATTTACATTATTCGGACTATTGTCCTCATCTTTGTCGCCATATTTATTACAACGTTTCGGCCTTTCAGTATCTGTCTATATTTCTGGGATGAGGTTATTATATACATTTTACATTATTCGGACTTTGTCCTTATCTTTTTGTCGCCATATTTATTACAACATTTCAGTATCTATTTCTGAGATGAGGTATTATATAAACTATTTACATTATTCGGACTATTGTCCTCATCTTTGTCGCCATATTTATTACAACGTTTCGGCCTTTCAGTATCTGTCTATATTTATGAGATGTGGTATTATGTACACTATTTATATTATTCGGGCTGTTGTCCTCATCTTTGTCGCCATATTTATTACAACGTTTCGGCCTTTCAGTATCTGTCTATATTTATGAGATCAGTTATTATGTAAACTATTTACATTATTCGGACTATTGTCCTCATCTTTGTCTCTTTGTTTATCACAACGTTTCGGCCGTTGTACATTAGACATTAGGTTTATAATACCCAGAAATTCATACACAGATGTCCTCAAGGGCACATGTCACAGTGGATAAAGTCGTTACTTTGATCCAGTGACAGGACTCAAAGAGTGTGAGTTCAATAAGGCAGTGGAGAACTTGGAGAGGTTAATTAACAGGAGATAACTGACATCCATTAGACATAGCACGTGGAACTAGAACAGTCTACCCCAGTAAGCGAAAAAAAGAGTTAAGTTCGATATTCCAACCACCTGAAGAAGGCCGGGCGTACAACAGCCAGCGAAACTTTGTAATAAACATTTGTCATAAATAGTGTTCTCCTCTTTATTTCTTTCTTTCTTTACTTCTTTTACGTTTCCTTTTTTCATCCTTACCATTTAATTTCTTCATTTACATTTTTTATCTCGTTTCAAACATTCTATCTATCTATCTATCTATCTATCTATCTATCTGTCTGTCTGTCTCTTCTCTCTTCTTCTCTCTCTCTTCTCTCTCTCTCTTTTTCCATTTATGTCCTTTATGTCCCATTCTCTCTTTCGTACTTTACCTTCTCTTTTTTTCTCTCCTTGTAACTTCCGTTATATTTTGAGTCTTTTGGGGTTTTTTCCCTTTTATGTTTCCGTTTTTTTCTTTTCTCTTCTTTCTCTCCTTCTTTTACATTTTTTCTTTAGTCTTCCCGTTTTTCTTTCTTTTTTCTTTCTTTCTATTAAGATTTTCTTTATTTTCTTTTGTTATTTCTTTCTTTCTTTTAAGTTTTATATTTTATTTTTGCCCCTTTTTTCTTTTTGCTTTTCTGTCTTTTGTTTTTCTTTAAGTTTCCACCATTTTCTTTTTTATTTCCCTTATTTTCTCTCTGACTTTTTTTATCTCTTTTATTTTAATTTTCTTATCATTTATATCTCTCTCTATGAAAATCTATTTTCTCTCTTTCTTTCTTTCTTTCTTTCTTTCTTTCCACCATCATTTTTCTTCTTATTCATTTTCCTTCAATTTGTACTTTTCTTTTTCTTCTTCTCAATACTTTTTTCCGTTTCTTCTTTTTCATTTTTATTCGTTGATTTCCTCGGCATCGAATTTATTTAAAAAAGAAAAATGATTCTTAAAAAAAACTTGTATTTATTTTCATATCTTTCCTTCTCGCCATTTTCTTTTATTCTTCCTATCGCCATTTCAACCATCTTTTTCTTACACTCTACTCTATATATCTCTCGCCTCACTCCCTTTTGTCTTTCTTTACACTTCTCTTACCTCAAATTCATGGTCATTTCTTTCCCCGACTTCCATCCAAATTCTCACCAAATAAAAATTCCTTTTCTTCCACCTGGTATTTACTTTCATTGTTGACTTCCCACAAACGTTTGCCGCGCCAGAAAATTCCTAAGTTTTGAACAATGCTTTGATTGACGTTTTCGTATCCCATTTAGGGATACGAAATGTCAATCAAAGCTTTGACTTCATTATTTAGCCGGCTCCTCATCACGACTTCCCGATAAAGTCACCAATATTTTTTTCTACAAATTTGCGTTAGTCTTTCCTGAGTATATTCATGTTTATTAGTAACAGGCAATGGCGTCCAGCGGACCAAAGTCCTTTTCCTTTAGAATCTGTCTATATTTCTGAGATGAGGTATTATGCACACTATTTACATCATTTGGACTATTCTCTTCATCTTTGTCGCCATATTTATTACAACGTTTCGGCCTTTCAGTTTCTGTCTATATTTCTAAGATGAGGTATTATGTAAACTATTTACATTATTCGGACTATTGTCCTCATCTTTGTCGCCATATTTATTACAACGTTTCGGCCGTTGTACGCTGCGTCCTTCTTCAGGTGGTTGGAATATCGAACTGAACCCTTTATTTCGCTCACTGGGGTAGACTGTTCTAGTTCCACGTGCCATGTTTAATGGATGTCAGTTATCAGTTATCTTCTGTTAATTTTCCTCTGAAAGTTCTCCACTGCCTTAACCGGATATTGAACTCACACTCTTTGGGTTCTGTCACTGGATGTAACCAACACCTTTATCCACTGTGCCATGTGTCCTTGAGGACGAAACGTAGTAATAAATATAGTGACAAAGATGAGTACAATAGTCCGAATAATGTAAATAATGTCTCTTTCCTTTGTTCCGATACGCTATGCAGTCGTTTCTTTGTTCTACAAATTTAAAAATGAATTAGCGAAATTGTCGTAATTAAAAAAATTGGCTAAGTTTAAACATTATGACAGTCATTCACAAAGAACATCACCAAAATAACAGACACCACAAAAAAGATTTTCAACAGCAGCAACAACTAAAATTGGCAGCATATGTAACTCGAAGAGAAATTAATGATATTATGTGTATACTCAAGAATGGTGCAAGTTTTTATTATCAGTTTTTTTAAGCCAAAAATAGGGAGTTGCACTATACACAGGTAATAATTTTTATCTTTTTATATTCACTTTCTACGGTTTATCAAACCTTTTAAGGTTATTTAAAGCCAGAAAATATTTTTAGATTATAAGAATTTTTTTTTTTTTTTTTGAGACTATAATGGTTTAGTAATACAAGTTTTACTAATTAACCCATAGCTGGGGTGAGAATGGGTGGATTTATACCTAATCAGAATTTGATAAACAAACGAAAAGAAATTATAATGTGAATATAAAGTGGGGATTAATTCTATATTGAAATCAATATATAAACTGAACCCTCACTTTATGGCCACTGTTGTTTCTCTACATTTATATTCCAGAACACGGTGGAGTAATGAATAGCAGCTCGGATTGAGAAATCGGAGAGCCGAGTTCGAATTCCAGTCAGATTTTTTGCATTCACTTACGTGTTAATACCCTTGGGGAAATGTATAAATTCTCTACTTCCTCCCCAGATATGGGTAAATAGCAGGACAGACCGTGTTCTATAGCTTTGGATGGTCTACCGCAGAAAGAAATGACAATACTGACAATGGAAATACTGCGGGAAAAAATCTGCCTAGTCAGTCATGTATCGAAAGATACATGTTCGCTTATGCGTGTATCACGCATGGCCCATAATTGACTTATGTTCCAGAGAATGGAAATAAATCTAAAAGACATGTTCGTGTAGCTAATCAATACTTCAGTGATTGATTGGTTTGTTTTCAACGGTTTATCGATCCAGAACATATTTTTAGATTGAAAGAATTTTTGTTTTAGATTATAATAACTTTCTGATACAAGTCTTACTAATGTATGAATCCACCTTTTCTGCCCCCATACCTTGGGGAAGAAGAGGGGGGTTCATACCTCCCCCAAGAGTATTTGCGCGTAAGTGAATATAAAGAAGTATTTTGGAATTGGATTACTTCGGCCATTATCTCCGATTAACAATTCCCAAACAGTCACCCATCTAGGTATCCAGGCTCGATGTTGCTCAACTTCGGTGATCATATGGAACTCGGCTCCCCGATTAATAATTCCGAGTCATTATCCATTACACCACCCGCACATCCAAGCTGATAGCACCTGGTATTCCCAAACGGTCACCCATCTAGGTACTGACCAGACTCGATGTTGCTCAACTTCGGTGATCATATGGAACTCGGCTCCCCGATTAATAATTCCGATTCATTATCCATTACACAACCCGCACATCCAAGCTGATAGCACCTGGTATTCCCAAACGGTCACCCATCTAGGTACTGACCAGGCTCGATGTTGCTCAACTTCGGTGATCATATAGGAACTCGGCTCCCCGATTAATAATTCCGAGTCATTATCCATTACACCACCCGCACATCACCTGGTATTCCCAAACGGTCATAGCACCTGGTATTCCCAAACCGTCACCCATTATCCATTACAGGTACTGACCCAAACGGTCACCCATCTAGGAACTCGATGTGTTGCTCAACTTCGGTGATCATATAGGAACTCGGCTCCCCGATTAATAATTCCGATTCATTATCCATTACACCACCCGCACATCCAAGCTGATAGCACCTGGTATTCCCAAACCGTCACCCATCTAGGTACTGACCAGACCATGTTGCTCAACTTCGGTGATCATATGAACTCGGCTCCCCGATTAATAATTCCGATTCATTATCATTATAGGAACTCGGCTCCCCGATTATTCCCATTCCGATTCAGTATCCAGGCTCGATGTTGCTCAACCCATATAGGAACATCCTCAGTGATAGCACCTGATTCATTATCATTACCCAAATCGGTCACCCATTCCCAAACCGTCACCCATCTAGGTACTGACCAGACTCGATGTTGCTCAACTTCGGTGATCATATAGGAACTCGGCTCCCCGATTAATAATTCCGATTCAGTATCTATTACACAACCCGCACATCCAAGCTGATAGAACCTGATTCATTCCCAAACGGTCACCCATCTAGGTACTGACCAGGCTGGTCGGCGCCGCTTAGTTTCGTTGATCGTTCTCAAATCGGTTTTTCAAGTAAGCCGCATAGTAATTTTGAAGCGGTTAAAAACCATACCTTTTCGGTGACCGTAAAAGGCAGGCTCAGGGTAAAGGATCTATTGTAGTCAGATATGAATGTAAATAAAAGTAATGCATGTAATTTTTCAGATATTTTACGGTAAGCTGTTTCTTTCAGCATTTCTTGCACTTCGTGGTGCAATGGTTAGCAGCTTGCCTTGCTAGAACAGTTACGACTGAGTAGTGAATTTGACCCTCACTAGGTGCCACATACTTTCGGCTTTGTGCTACATCTAAGCTCCGCTTAGAAAATCAATACTTACCTGGCATATACCGGGTAGGGTTTATCAGCTCTCAGTTGCATCTATGTCTTCAGGCAGAGTTGTGTTTCTGTCCGCGCACATATTGTAGAGCCACCTCGTTCTGGGTAACCGCTCCATAACAAAGTTACATTCTTCTCTCTCGGTCGGTGATCGTTACTTGTTTTGAGTTCAGAGATAAAAAGAACTTCAAAACAGGTAATTTTAAACTTTTTATTAACTTCGACGTATACATCTTCTATTTATCCAGTAAGGCCGTTGTCCCTCCACTGGGGAGCCGTTTCAGGCACGAAAGACAACACATCTACATTGATCGACGATTAAGAAACAACTCACTGAAAAAACGTTTCTCTGTCTATCATTCCCACGCTAGTTCAACCAATCAAAATGGACTTCCTTATTTTGTCTTGTATTTGATCCCTAAGGTCAACCTCAGGTAGTCAGAACAGAGATACACTTCCTCCTAAAATAAGTCTGCTAAAGTATAATTTAACACAGAGACGCAGCTGATAAAAACTAAATACTGAAATGTGCCAGCAGCCCCTTCATTGCACTAGAGAGTTGGAAGTCGGTAGTCATGTCGATGCCAGCGCAACCGATGGTTCCGGGGGCTGGGCAATTTTTGGCCTTGGCCCGGCGTACATGCTCGGGTTCCCCACATTAATCCCGACCTTGTGTCGCATCCCGTCTCAGTGGGAAGACAGGGTGAATAATACTCAACATTTTGGTGGTAGATTTGTGCAAAAAAGACCATATATTTGCTATAAAGTATATCCAAGATGATACTAAGTATTGCAACATTTGACTACGGTTGGCCTACTAATATTGCTCAGAAGTTGGGTTCGCATTATACACGAGCTATATGAAAATATCACAACTTATCAGCCACGCCTTCGATAAATTTTGAGTAAAATTTCACAGGCTTTGATGTGAAAATGTTTTTGAAAGACTCTTAGCTTTTATTTCCATTAGGGAAAGATTTCTCCATCAAAGCGTTTTGTAGCGATCGGTAATAAACTGTTGGTGCAGTGGCAAATGAATATAGCTTTTGGTGTAGAACAGACCAAACGAATTCAATTTTTCCTTTTGTTATTCCTGCTTTGTCATAGACGATAGCAACATTTTCCCTCTTAATGAACCCAGGCCACTTTTCGGTCAAACATCTACAATGGGAATAACTGTTGATAATTGGGTACATAAAAACAACCACGAGTTTACTTAATGAACAAAAATCAAAAACAATCACGAGTATCAAACGAATAAATGTCAACCTAACAAGCTATAAGATAAAAGTTTTAGGGGAAAAAGTACTAAATATAAATTGGATTACTCTTTCAATGTTCTGTCTATGGATTTTTCCAATCGACTGCTTCATAGGAAATATCCAAAACTCTACCGAATTTCAAATTAATTTCTTCGTAGATTGTTTTAAAATTTAGATATTTATCAAACCATAACCTCCAAATTATGCACGTTAAAGTAACGCGAACTGACAGCGTCTAAGAATTTAAATGAAACCTGTCGTGTAATTTATTGGGGTTGTTTTCCTTAATGTAGTCCTTATCGCTCACCCCTTAACCACCTTTATCTAGAGACGAGACGCGTTAGATTTGAGCAACATCCAGCCGACACACTGGGGTTAAAATAGGAAACTAAAATGATACATATGACACACTCATATCCTCTCTCCCACCTCACTTCCTCACTTCGTTAACTTGGCGTATACTTGATGAGGTCCGTAAAAAAAAAAACGTGTGAATTTCTTTTCATTTTTCATTTCAACTTTTTGGAAGTAAAGTCTGATGATCCAGAACCCTGTTAAAGGGTTATGGTGAAATAACTTATTACATGGAATCTTAACGTGGTCTGTCTTTTATTCAAACATATCTGCTCTGAATTTTACATTGAGCTCTCTGGATATCATCCTCCTCAGGTCTACCCATACGGATTACCTAAATTTGCATAAACTATATATATATATATATATATATATATATATATATATATATATATATATATATTGACATTGAATCAACACCATTGAATATTTTAACCGTTAAATAAGAAATAGTTTGTTGTATGTATGTTTTATAAAATGTTTTCATTTTTCCAAACACTGTCAAGATATTATGTCCATGTTCTAAGTTAATATTATTTAGTTGTTTTTTTTTTTGTTGTTGTTTTTAATAATATGGACACTTTTTTATAATTTATCATCCCAAAAGAAAATTATCAGATCTCATGAGAAATTGTATAAAAAAACTAAATAAAAGCACCGTATTTAATGAAATGTGCATGAAAGAAGGATTGCCGACTAAATACACAAATATGAAGGAGTAATTAATCATTATTATTTTATGATAATGTATTTAGTTATACAGGGTTATTCAAAACGAAAGAGCAGATTTTGAAAATTTAAAACAAATGCTAAAAGCTAGAAACACATGCAGCATATTACTGATTAGGAAAAAGGTCAGATTTTCTTATTTTAAGGCTGTTCAATGCGATGTATCAGTTGATCTATGGATACTTCACAGCTTCAACAATTCGAAGTTTCAAATCTTCAAGCGGAGCAGGCATAGGTGGAACAAATACTCTCTCTTTTATATACCCCCAACAGATAAGAATTTTATGGAGTAAGATCTGGTGATCTGGGGTGGGGCACAGGCAACAGACAAAATCCTCTTTTCTAAAAGTTATAACAATTCAAATTTATACAAAATCTTAAAAAAAACAAAAAGATCGAAAAAATAATTTTTATTTATTTTAATAATTTTAAACGTTTTCTTATCCTGTAATGTGTTGAATGTGTTTCTGTCTTTTAGTATTTGTTTTTATGAAATTTTCGAAATCTGTTTTTTCTTTTTAACCTATATATATCTATATATATATATATATATATATATATATATATATATATATATATATATATATCAAATATGTGGTGCAGTTCAATTTATATTACAATGAATCTTTCATACAAAAAAATAGATTAGTAAAGTTAATGATATAAAAATGGCGAAAAATCTTCGCAAACAAAATTTTTCAAGTTGCATTAACCTACGAACCACTCGATGAATGTTATGATACTTGTTTTAATAACTCCACGTTGTATAAGGTCTTTTTTAATCTGCTAGTACTTTCAACTGTACATACAACCATCCTCAGGCATGTAAATTTTTGTTTTTAGTAAATCCAGGTAGCATCGGAGGCGAAAGCTTAAATGGGAATCGAAATATATATATATATATATATATATATATATATATATATATAAAAAGAAGAATTTGAACACAAGAAAAACTCATTCAAGAGGGCACAGTGGAGTGTAGCGAAAGACGAATTTAATATATGGAAATATATATGTGTATGTGGGTGTGTGTGCGTAGATAATTATGTGTGTGTATTTTGTGTTTGTGTTTGTATTTGTATCCCCATAAAACAACCACATTTCCGCAAGGGCGCTTGTACACTGGAAAAATAAAATTTCATTAAATATAACAGACACAGAATGTGTTTCGCTTTTATTAAGATGTATTAATTTGACTTTTTCGTTTTTTATTAGAAGTATGCAGAATTTCCCACCGCTTTATATATATATATATATATATATATATATATATATGTGTGTGTGTGAAAATATATAGAAAATAGGAAAGAACTCGTTAGGTAAATAATCCATAGTTCTTTAGCATTTTTATTATTATTTTAAAAAACAGTGCTCGATACAAAAAAGTAGAGCCTAAATATAATTATTTATTTAATTTTTAAATAAATAATTATAAATATATATATATATATATATATATATATATATATATATATATATATATATAGCCAAGTATAGGATTGGTGTATACGGAATAAATTCCAATAACCAACAATTAGTATTCTTAAAAGGGTGCTCAATACAGAGTAGAACAAATATAATTATTCGAAAATTATAACATAAATGTGTTATAAAATCACTACAAAAAATAGCCATTTTGTTTCAACCCCTCTGAAATGCTTCTTCCTGGTGTTAAGTATAAGCTTCCCCTTGTTTGCATCCTCTCTAAAAGCTCATCGTTGCTCACACTCTCGGTTCATGATATCCTTCTGTACAACCATAGCTCCGTTGCCTCGAGTCTCTTCTTCATCTTTGAGAAGACTGTCCAACATTCGCTGTCGTATAGAAGGACAGACGTCACGTAGCAGCTCAATACTCTTTTCTTTGTTACAAAGAAATCCTCATGTCTCATAATACACTGCCTAGCTTTTGGAATGCGTCCTTGGCCATACTGTCGCACTTCCCGTCCTCTGTCAAAAGACACTTCCTAGATATTTAAACTTCCGCACGTGCTTGATCTTAGTGTCCCCGGCCTGCCCATCGCATTTCGGGATCATCCTTTTACTGATGACCATGCATTCTGTCTTCTTGTAGTTTATGCTTAGTCCCTTCTTCTCACTCTCCTTCAATAACTTCTGTCGATCTCACTACTCAATCGTAATTGTTCTAGCGAGACAAGCTTTCTAACCAATACACCACGTCGAGGTACCCTAATCGGATCGTTATAATTTTAATGTCGTACCAGGATTCATTATTGGCGGCGACAACCTTAACAAAATAAGATATTGATTTTCTAAGCATAGCTCAGATGTGACACAAGGCCGAAAGTAGGAGGCACCCAGTGAGAATCGAACTCGCTACTCAGTCGTAATTGCTTTAGCGAGACAAGCTTGCTTACCATTACACCACATCGAGGTACCCTAATCGGATCGTTATGATGCCACAAGGCAGTAAGTGAGGATCGATCTCACTACTCAGTTGTAATTGTTCTAGCGAGACAAGCTTGTTAACCATTACCCTAATCAGTTCGTAATGATCATTATGATTTTAATGTCGAACCAGAATTCATTATTGGCGGTGACAATCTTAACAACATAAGATATGCAGATGACACAGTGTTGACAGCAGACACTGAAAAGAAACTACAGAAACTCCTACAGAAGAGAGTAAAGGAAAGCAAGAAGAAAGGACTAAATAAAGAAAACAGGTTGTATGGTTTTTAGCAAAAAACTAACCGAACGTAGAAATTGGAGATATCAAAATCAAGCAAGTACAAACAATTTAATATCTATGAAATATTTTAACAGAGAATGGAAAATACGTCACCGAAAACCTAAAACACAGTGGAATAGCAAAATATGCCTTCCAAAAGTTAAGCAAGGTATTAAGAAACAAGAAAATTTCGTTATAAACAAAGAAAAAGGTACTGAACTACGTAATATCAGTCCTCCTATATGGTAGTGAATGCTGAACAATCAGGCAATAGAAATATGGTTCTGCAGAAGGATGTTGACAATACCATGGACTGAACACGACGAAGTTTTAGAGAAAATGGAAATAAAAAGGAGACTTATTCTTAGCATCAGAAAGAGATAGTTGGAATTTTTAGGGCACATAATGAGGAAGGACGGCTTAGAAAACTTGACACTCACAGAAGTCAAGAGGGACAGAGGAAAATAACGCATAACCTACCTAATTTGTCTAAATGGTTGGAAGAACAGGGATTAGGAGAGATAGCAAAAAGACAAATATGGCTAATAGCTACAAAGAGCAGGAAATTGTGGAGAGCCATGATCGCCTACATCCTGTATATTAAAGAAGATTTAAATTTAATTAACTTGAAGCCATCTCTAATCATAGATCTGAGAAAACATATAGCTGATAGTTTAAATATTTATGAACGAATTGGGCTTCATTTGAAATACTGGTTCCCGTACAATCAACGAAGATAAGCAACGTCGAGCCAGGTCAGTGCCTAGATTGGTTACCACTTGTGAATACTAGATGCTATAAGCTTAGATATATGGGTAGTGTAATAGATAATGGCTCGGAATTGTTAATCGGAGAGCCGAGTTTCATTTCCCCTTGGGTCTGTTACATTAACTTACGCGCAAATATCCTTAGGAAAGGTATGAATTCACCTCTTTTCCCCCAGCTATGGATTAATTAGTAAGACTTGTATCATTCAAACATTATTATCTCCAAAAAGAATTCTTACAATCTAAAAAGTATTTTCTAACGTTAAATAGACCGCAAAGGGTTCATGCCTTTGTCCCATCGATACTAGAGCGAATAACCTCTTTCCCCTCCTCCTGTCCCAACAAGTAATCGGATCGTTATGGTGGCACAAGGCCGGAAGTGAGAATCAAACTCACTACTCAGTCGTAATTGTTCTAGCGAGACAATCTTGTTAACCATTACAACACGTCGTGGTACCCTAATCGAATCTTTATGGCGACACAAGACCGTAAGTGAGGATGGAACTCACTACTCCGTCGTAATTGTTCTAGCGAGGCAAGATAATTCTGAATGAATCGGGCTTCATTTCAAACACTGGTTCCTGTACGATCACCGAAGTTAAGCAACGTCGAGCCCGGTCAGTACCTAGATGGGTGACCGCTTGTGGATACCAGATGCTGTAAGCTTGGATATATGGGTAGTGTAATAGATAATGGCTCGGAATTGTTAATCGGAGAGCCGAGTTTCATTTCCCCTGGGGTCCGTTACATTAACTTACGCGCAAATATCATTGGGATTGGTATGAATCAACCTCTTCTCCCCAGCTATCGATTAATTAGTAAGACTTGTATCACTCAATCATTATTATCTCCAAAAAGAATTCTTACAATCTAAAAGGTATTTTCTAACTTTAAATAACCTGGGTTGATAAGTCGTAGAAAATAAATCAACCAATAAACGAATTGGACGCTATGCACGACATCTGTATGAGAATCGAGATATGACGAGGTTATTTAATGACAAAATTCTCGTTTTTGGGTCAGTATTCTCGTTTTTTTTCTACCATCTTCAAATATTTTCTGGCTTTAAATAACCTACAAATGGTTCATAAACCATAGAAAACGAATCAATCAATCAATTGAATACTGATTAGCTACACAGACATGGTTTTTAGCTTTATTTCCATTCTCTGGAATATAAATATATAGAAACTAGGGTGGACATAAGTGAGGGATCAGTTTGTGTATTGATTATAATATAAAATTGATTCCCCACTTTATATTCACTATAATTTCTTGTTTATTTATCAAATTCTGATTAGGTACGAATCCGCCCCTTCTCCCCCAGCTATGGGTTAATTAGTAAGACTTGTATTATTAAACCTTTATTATCTCAAAAAAATCTTAGAATCTAGAAATATTTTCTGGCTTTAAATAACCTACAAAGGGTTGATAAAATTTTCTCTTTGAAAACTTTTTCATATCAAAACCTATGGAATTTTACTCAAAATATATCAAAGGGCTGCCAGATAAGTGACAAAAAGTCATTGCAAATAATGGTGAAAAAGTTTATAAATAAAAGCGGAAATAAATTATGACAATAGATTATTTCAACGAGGCTCACCTACCTGGTACTGTTGTCTGAAGCTTAGCTTTTATTTCAACAATATGTCGCAATCCTTGGGTGAAAATTAGTGTTCAGTTTAATTTATCTTAAATCTTTTTTTTTCGGGCACCTCGAGGCGGTGTAATGGTTAGAAAGCTTATCTCGCTAGAACAATTACGACTTAGTAGATAGTTCGATCATTGCTGGGGACCCCCTACTTTCGTCCTTATGCCACATCTAAGCTACGCTTGGAAAATCACTCTCTTAAATAATTTTGAAGATTGAGACGTTAGCCTAAAGTTTATTAATCTCCAACTGAATATGAATTGGATTAAAAGTCAAAAAGAGATTGAACTGAAGAGCTTAGTATTTCGTGCCGCGTACTGCAACCA